AGTAATATATATATATATATATATATATAATATATATATATATATATATATATNTATTATTATATTATTATATATATATATATGTGTGTGTGTGTGTGTGTGTGTGTGTGTGTCTGTATATATATATATAGCGTCGCGCATTTTCATTGGTATATATTTCTGTGTATATGAGAACAGCTAGGCTTCGTTCAATGAGCCCACCAGTTCCTAAACAGTAATTATAAAAGGAGCGTTGAACCTTCACTCAACTCGACATTGGCAAGCGTTCCAATGCCTACTTTCCAGGCACGAGTGTATGCAGTCATGATGGAAACGCGAGGAAATGAAGTCCTAGTCTCAGCTAGTTCGTGGTCAAATAAGACGTCTTCAACTATTCTATTCAAACGGATCATGCGTTTGTCAGTTCTGGCTCTAATTTAATCAAGCGACATTTATACTTTCTTTGACTTGATTCGAAAGCGTCCTACCTGATACCAACAACTGAAGTGTCTGTTCACCAAAGAAATTACAAATATATGATAATTTCTATCGGCACTGAGACTCAGAGAATCCATAAGAAGTATTTTCCTTGACATAGCTAAAAAAAAAACATGTCATACCCCTGTCCCCGAATATCACATAATCGTCAAAATCATATCACCTATTATTCGGATTTAGTGTTTCATTTAGAAGGCTATAGATTTGGAAAATATTATCTTAAAATGAATGCTGAAGCCTGGATAATCATCCGATTTTTAATTGATGTTTTGGATAGACAGTATTGTGTCTCGATCTAAATAGTTAAGCTGAAACTAAACCGCGTTAAATTGCGGCCTCGGGCCCAAGCTGTGACGTTGTGCGATACAAATCCTTCCGCTTCTCACTCAAACATTGACGGCGTCTAAAATAATATCCACAGGTATTACAAAGCGTGCTCCTTCCAAGAGGTCCTGGCCGCCATGTGCAGCTCTCTGTTATGCCACAGTGCCTGTAAAGGATAAAGATTGTACATTAGTCTAGAACCAGATTAAAATATATTGGAGAGATATGAGATAGGGAACACAAACAGGTTAGATTAGAAATCTAAAGTGAGCAGTACTTACGAGCATGGGTTGTCCTCTCGCACAACTGGAGTCCGCTTCTTATTGACCTTGTGGGCTGGCGCTGCTACGGTAGTTTCTTCAGTTGATTTCAAATCCGATTCAGTTTTATCCGAGTCTATCTGACTGCTTAAACTTGGGTCAACAGATGCAGCCTTCACATTGTCAGTCCGGTTCCGCTTATGCGCGCTCCCATCGTGATTCTTTGTTCTCTCGGATCTGAGACTGGGCATGTTTGGGCCCTCGGCTGTCCTTTTGCGGTGCCCATTCTTTTGCTGAATGTCTCCCTCCGACCTCCTGCCATCTGTAGCAGTAACCTCTCCAGAACTCTTATCGTTGTCGTCGGCAGTGCTACCTTGACCTTCGCTGCTGTAGGAAAGGGACCTGCTATGGGTAGACCTGAGTGGATTAGGCCGACTGTTGATTTTCTTGGCTTGAGAACATCCAAAAGAACCATTATTGCTGCTTCCAAGCACTCGGTTGCTTTCCATGCTATCCGAGCCTTCATTGGATGTTTCTGCTTGAACTATTTGCATAACTTGGATTTTTTGCATCCTTGTGGCACTTCCGGAGTCATCTGTGGTTCTCGACTGTGAGTGGAAACTGGCACTGCGATTCTGCGAAGGGATTCGATGTGTGTGATATTTTGAATCGTTGCGAGCCACCGATTGCTTCTGGCTATAACGTTGCACCGAGGTGTGCGTGTTCTGTGTAACATTGCTATCGGAATAGCCAGACCCAGATCTTTGAGCAGACATTTGCTCCGGGTGCGACGTTGAAAAAGGGTGTATAATGTGTCCGGTAGGAGTCGTCTTTCCGATATGCCTGCTGTGCCCAATACAAGGTGGTGCTTGGTTCACGATGTAGTTTGGTCCCTCCATCGGCATCGAGCCGTTACATGTATTAACTCGCATGCTAGGTTGATTTTGTTGATTTTGATTTTGGAATCTGTTGTTGAAACCACCATTGTTTTGAAATTTTGAATGTTGGGGTATAGCAACCTCTGTGGCACAACTCGTTGTATGCCTCCGATCGAACATAACATTCTGTTGGTGATCGAATACATGTTGGTCCGAATACGCACCACCTCCAGTGTTCCGCCTTTGTTGGTTGACACTCTCCTGGGTGGATGGCACTCGTTGCTGCTCGTAATTGACCAGACCTTGCGTTTGATCCGGATATCCACACATACACTGTTGGCATGTCGAGCACGGCTTAGGTGGCATATTATTTTCAGTGCTGCGAACTTCGGAGAGATTGCTGGTTCGATCCTGGTCCATATTGTTTCCGATTACCAATGAGCCTCCTCTGTGTCTTGTATTCGATCCAACTGCTACAGTATAAAGAGTATTTGGTCCGTTGATGGGCCACCGATTTTCGACGTGCACAGACTGTCTTTGCCTCGGAGATAATTGGCTCGCGTCTCCTATCCTCTCTTGAATACGATTTATGTACTCCACATTATTATTTTGTTGCTGATAGACGTCTGCTTGACTCTGAAAGTGTGTATCGCGACTACGGTGTCTGTTGTTGTTCTTGGACCGGTTTCGGTGCTCGTGAGTGCCTTCCCGATCTTCTTCTAATTTGATGTTGGTGCTATATTGGTAAATTCTTCCATTCGTCTGCTCCCCATCCCTTTCCGCAGTAGGAGCCGTGTTTGTGTGTAGTAGGCTAGCAACCGAGTGGTTGCCCAGGGAGATCCGCATCTGCCCCTGCCCCTGCCCATTTCGTTGTTGATTATTGCCCTTAGAGTGTCCACAAGTATAATTGGCTGGACAATCACAGCCATAGATGCCGCAGTCATGCGCGGCACCTATTTTTTGATCATAGGGATGAGCGAATCCTTCAGTAATTTGCCGGGTTCCACAGTGCATATCACCAACGCCATCATGAAAATTCTGGGAATGTTGAACCTCGTTGTGGCTGCTATTCCGGTTATCTATGGGATAGCACCGATTGTTGCAACCAATACCTGATTGACGATTAGCAGTCGTGTTGCTGTAACTAGATGAGCAGCATGGACCGCACATTGAATTTTTGGTATCGTGCGAATAAGCACGCGAAGGTTTTAAATTAGTATTTCGTGTCGAAACTTCATGATCTCTATCGTGCTGTCTCATATTATGCACAACAGATAGGTGATTGTGTGAATTCGTTATTTGTCCACCGTCCATTGTGACATGGGCATCATTGTATCTTTCTAGTGCCATTTTGATGTTTAATGTATATATTTACGTGGTTGTGCATTGGTCTTGATATAGTCGAACGCCATATGTGTCGTAGACTCACATACTCAAAGTCAATAGCAATCAAACTGAGCGTTTGGTCCTCGATATGCCTTCATATAAATCAATCAGATGATGTTTAGTCTGCGGGAAACATTTTTTTTCTCGAGATTTGTATCTGAAACAACGTTCTCTGAAGTTAAAATTTAAATATATTAGTTTTTTTTCTAAATTGCGTCCTCATCGGGGCGATGAGTTGACGGGACTTCATCCTGTGAGCCTGTGACGAACTGACGGTGTCGTTCAGGGTTTTTTTTCCAAAACATACTCGACATAGAAAACATTTTATGTATTTATTTACAAAAACTAAAAACCTTCTTCGCACACACCACTCACCAGAGAGCAGGAAGGCAGTGACCCTCCTGGCCCCAGCTGGGCCAGCCACAGGCCCTCTCTACTAGCCCCAGGGCCCAGGCTGCAGACACCCGACTCAGAGTCCCAGCTCCCCAGAGTTGACAGACTACAGTCGACAGTTCACTCGTGACTCGCCACTGTCGACACTCGACAGTCGACACTCTCGGCAGAGTCGGCACTCGGCAGTTGGCACAAGAAGTGTTACTCAGGCAGTTGCCAATCGCATAATAAAGATTAACTTCAAGAAAAGAAAAAATGTTTTTAAATAAATATATCTGTGTTGGTTATTTTTCTACTTTCTACTCCAATATAGAGTAGAGTAAAGGTTTTGGTTCGTTACAAGTTTCAATTTTGAAGCATAAAAGTCATGAAGAAGGTAATCTTTATAAAAAAAACACTCAGAAAAATCAATACTATACTCCACGAGTCCACACTCCACAGTCCACACCTTCACAGAGACTGAGACTATGAGTCACTGAGAGAAGAGATGAGAGAAAACTGGGAAGAAAAAAAAAGAGAAAGTACTTTATGTATGAAATTTTTGTAAGAAAAACAATACAGTCCATCGCAGAGAGAAAAAATATACCGAAATCCAAGCCCCAAGAAACGACTCCGAAAGAGTGATACTTGCATTTTGTTGTTGTTGTTTTTTTAAACAAATTTATAAAATCGAATCATTCTCCAATATGAAATTTCTTCAATGGGCTTCCTACTCTGCAGCTGCTGCGTGAGTGCCTTGGGGGCTTGAAGCTTGGGCCCTCTCTCTCACCCTAGATTTTATAGCTGTAGGGCCCAGCCGTTTAGGCCCCAGCCACTTAGGCCCCAGCCGCTTAGGCCCCAGCCGCTTAGGCCCTGGGGGAATGGGGCCTGGGGGCCTGGGGGCCTGGGTTTCGTAAGGCGTATTCACTATAGGCTGAGACTCTGAGAGCCTGAGACTGCTAAGCTTATTACGTAGTGTGTGCCGAATAAAAATTGAACTTTAACGCCTATTTTCATGTTCTATATACTATTAAAAAAACGGTTATGCAGCTCAAATATGCCCAACGAAGTTTCAAAAACTGCACTCGAATGTGCACCTAAGATCCACGAAATGAGCTATACTGAGGGTGTCGACCAATCATAAGCTCGCCATCATTTTGATGACAAATATCCCGATTCCCAACCGACGGAGGACCATGTATGTAATAAAAATTGAACTTTACCGCTTATATCGGCCTGTAATAAAGGCTTTAACGGTTAACGCATTGAGTCTTGTTGGAAAAAGGGGGTGGTGACTGGTGACGTGAGTATTTAGGTGACTTCTGGTGCTAGCTCAATGCGTAAACGCATTGTAATTTTTTATTTAGGTCAAATCGATACCGATATTGTGCAACTTTGAGTTTGCAATCTCGTAGCTGTTGTCCTGTCGTTGAGAAATTAGGCCACGAAATTATCGACAGCCAATCATAACTCGCAAAGTAGAACTTTATTTCCACTTTGACATTGAATTGCTATCGTCTGATCATCCCCTACTATTTACATCTCCTACTAGAGCAATGGTACGGCCAAAAATTGAGCAAAAATAGAGGTAGACAACAATGGTCAAACGGGGCTTGGGACTTATTTTTCAAGTTCATGTTGATTTGCACTGCGCCTACAACATTACAATTGCTTGGATTGTTCGAAGCAATGTTCGATCTGAAAACAGATATTTATTGTACAATGCTTTATCTTATACATATGTTACTTCTTTGGCCGCTTCTTTCAGCAGGTAATTGTTGTAATTAACAGCCCAAGTCTTCTGCAGACTATATCCTCCTTTCTCCATTTTACGAACAACGTCACCTTTTGTGGCTTCAGATAAATGCATCTTCTGCTTCGATTATTTCTCCTTTGTGCTGGTTTGTGATGTATCGGCGTCTTTGTCGTTCTGCTTTGCTGCGTGTCATTTATATTCATCGCTCGATATACAGTACTCGTTGCTATTACTACCAAATCCTTTGCCAATTGTCACACCACAGTACGTGTGCATTGCCCTCCCATAACCAACACATTTGTGTGCCTTACCGATAGGATTTGTATCTCGCAATTTCTAGCGCAGCATGTCTGCTTTATGGTGTCACTTGTATTGAATATCGTGTATGACCGTCATGCGTTGTGGTTGCACTATCTGTATTGTATCTGATATGAACATCATATCACTCAAAATCAGCTCTTTCCCTGAAAATCCAGAAGGGAATTTCAAGCAAAATAGTGTAAAGTAAAATTTGTATGATTTACTACCGCGACGAACTGTAAATAAATCTATTTAAAGCGAAATAATGTAAAGTATCATGTTCCTGTATATATGGTGTGCGTGAATCCTCACTAGCAGGACGTTCACGTGCATTGTCCGTCTAATCCTATATAGTTTATATAGGGCACATAAAATAAAAGGTCCGTCTGAAAAAAAAGGACAAAAATAGAGGTAGACAATAATCCAGGTTTGACTGTAATGTACTACTAGTATTTAATATTATATTTATTTTAAAAAGGTACCATCCACAGACCACAGCAAGCTTTATACACGCAATACGGAATACGTACAGAGTAATGTTCCAGTATTGACCATTTAAATCATGTGCCAAATAATTTTGAAACCAACTGACAGGAAATAATTGTTTTGGGGGTTTTTTTCTTTAAATACATTTTTATATAGATTTATAAATAAATGTGTATTCTTCAGAAGGCTATGAAAATACTGCAAATAAGTAGTATTGTCGATATATGTACATAGTATATATAAAAATATAAGTAGTATATAAAATAAGTAGTCATAAAATATCTTCTATATTTTCCCTCCATGCTCCTTTTTACTTTTTTAAAAATGAGATATGAATACATCAGAAATAAATACAGTAAATACATAAACAAATACAACTTTTTCTATTTTAAACAACAGTTGCATTTGTCAACTTATCAACTGTCAACAGTGTCAAGTGATAAGTCACTTCACACTTGTTGATAGCCGCTCGGTTGAATTGTCCTATTTATTTATTTTGCGGGTTGGCCATTATTTTTTTACAACAAATTAATAGCACTTTGTTTCTATTTTTAAAAAAGAGCCATAGCTCAGGTAACAAATATTTACAGATAGTAAACGGTGAGAGTCGATGACTAAATACTAAATACTAGAGTTTGGTGAGTGCTGGCCTGCTGGGCCTGGCTCGAGGCTGAGCTGAGTGGAGATTGGAGAGACTCGTCACTTGAGCCAGGAGGCTCGAGCAGTCGAGCCTCGAGGGCCGAGGGCCCGAGGCACGCCGTACCGTAGGCTCGTACCGTACGCCCTACGGTGTACAATATAAACGAGATTTGTTACGACTGCCACCACTATGCCTGTAACTACGTCTTGCGACCTATGCCTGCGACTCTCGACTGCGACCACTATGCCTGCGATCGGATTTTGCGACCACCAAATCTCAAGCTATTGCCTGCCACCACAAAATCAGACGCTCTCGCCTGCCACCCAATCTCAAAATTTAGTTTATATATCTATTTTTCAAAACTTAAACAGCGTCAGTAGCACAGCGGCAAGGATGGGTGGCTATCTAATATATTT